TTCCATGAATTGTGTATCTATGTGTTCTTGAATCAGTCTGCCACAAGTACAAATCGAAATTGGTCAGTTGAAAAGATGTTTTTTTTTTTTTTGTTGAGAAAGCATATATTTGATTCAAATATGAATTATTACAACATAATGTGTTATGTTTATAAATCAAATATGTAGAAATATTTACGTTAGTAAGTGATAAAATTTTCGTTCACGATTCACTCAAAAATTCTAAATCCATTTTTCAAATACAAAATTTTGAATACAAAAGTTTAAAAACCATTCAAAACATATTGGTTGGGAATTATGCTGATTAGTTGTGGTAAAGATTGGCTGAGACTTTTCTTTGTAAATAATCGTTGAACAATTTGTTTGGCTATTCTAATGAAACTTTTTGTGATGGATAGAGATCACAGTCTTAATGAACGTACTATTATGGCCCTACAACGTCGTATTTGTTACCGCTGTCGTCGTTCTATCTATACCATAAGTTGCCCACCGCTCTAAGTCCTGGCTATGGTAATAGACAGCATCTACATCCTCAAGAACTTTCTCGCTTAAAACACGAAGTATTCTAATATTGTCTAGGCTTAAAATAAAATATGAACACGGGGTATTCTAGTATTGTCTAGGCTTAAAATAAAATATGAACATGGGGTATTCTAATATTGTCTAGGCTTCAAACAACCGAGAGAAACAAATGAACCGCGCCGTACTGACATTTTCAGTATAATATTGATAATCATTGATAAACGGAATACCTCGCAGCATGGCCAATACTTTTTTAAGCTTCATCTTACTATCTACTCTCTGGGCAATAAAAGACGCAGCTAATATTGCAGAATTTCCATACGTGGTAAGAAGCGGGGTTAATAGATTCACAGAGAATACGCAAACACTCGATGGATACATGTTAGTATTAATTAAGACATTTTAGTTACAAAATACGTTCAATATCACGATCTGTCGCTTAAGACACATCGAGACAAGAAATTTAATAACTTTTAGTATAATTTTGTTCGTAACGTAACATTTACAACTATATTAAAGTGAACTTGGAATAAAAGAAATCGTTTACATCTACATGCACGTACTGAATTATTGTTAAAAATAAAATTCATAAATGTTTATTGACAAGTTAAAAATTCTCATTATCATTACAAATGTTATTAAAGTTGGGATGGCAAATTTTGAAAACCGCGACCCAGTTGTTGTACTCTACAGCAACAGGGTCGCGTACAAGTTGTACGCGTTTTCGAGAATCGAAAACCTTTCATAAAATTTAAAGAACTTATTTTTATTGAATGCTAACAGGTTTCTATACAAATAAATATTCGTTCACCACGTCATTATGATCCACTGAAGGGATTCTGGGCACATATTTGCGATGGATCAATAATAAGTAATAAATGGATTTTAACGGCAGCGCATTGCATTGGAAGATCACGGTAAAATTTTAATTACTAAAACACGTAGAAAAAAATTCGAACTCAGCATAAGATATGAAACTAATTCAGATTTAATATATTTTTAACATTCATCTGATAATTCGATAATTTGTATCACATACACATACACACCATGCATAGTATTGTATAATTAAAAATCTAAATTGTCCATAATACAAAAAAAAATAAAAAAAAAACATCATTTGCTGTTTCACATTTTGAATTATAAGAAAAAAATCTACTAAGTTTATATATATAATAGTTCTTGTTTCTTTAAAGAGAAAATCTTTTAATTGTTCAATGAAAATTTTATAAGAACTCTTAACTCTTAACTCTTAACTAACAATTGTTTTTGACTCCGAAATGATGGGATTTTTTTGAATCTTTTTGTATTATGGACAATTTAGATTTTTAATTATACAATAATATGCAATAATTTTAAATCAAAATTTAATTTTCAGTCCGAAAATCGTGGATATAAAAATAATTCTGTTAGAGATTTTCATTTGATACTCCTATTTTTTGTAGCTTTGAATAGGTATATAATTATATATTATAGCTTAACGAATCGCAATATGATAATAATTTTTTATTAGAAAAGAAGAATATGATCATTTCAATTACGGAGTGATGACTAAAGTTCCTGACAATCAGATATATGAAGAAAGTATTACTAAATCACGTAGAAAACGTTGCCAAAAGTTTTTCATTCACCCGAATTTTTCTGTATCTAACGAATTATTTCTTGAAGACTATCTCAAAGATAATATTGGCTTAATCAGGGTACATTATATTATATTATATTATATATATATATATATATATATATATATTTATATAGGTATAGATATATGTGTGTGTATGTGAATTACTAGAATAACTTGCCCAGATCATATTTTTAGTTGGTGGATTCAATCAATTCTTCAATAGGAAAACCTATAAACCTTCCAACAAATTACAATTATGATATAGAATTAAAAAGTTTGTACAAAGTATGTCGAACAGGAAATTATGAAGGTTACAGAATGCCACATCACAGTAAGAATTTTAAAACTACATGCAACATTTAGACCCTAACAATAAGTATATATATTTCGAAAGTATTGCAAGTCCACTTTAATAATTTATACAATGGAACAGCTCCAGCTGTTTCTCTTTTGCAGCCAAGAAATATATATTTTGTTACTGTTTAATTTGCCTAAAATAAGTTTGATATAATGAAATTAAATGTCGGTAAAAAAGTAGATATACACAACTACACTTAGTTCTTCTAGGTTTTTTTTATTTAACAGCATCTAGATGCTAAATTTTATAATTTTCTTGAAACAATAAGGCAATGTGGATTTACACTACTTTCAAAATAAACAGTCCGTTTTAGAGTTCATCAGACCTACTTATGATACAAAAATATCTTAAATACAATGATAAAAGTAATTGTTTTTAATTTTCAGTATTCTACAGAAACGATTTTAATGAAGCCGATTTAAAAAATAATTTCGTGGTGCGTGATATGACAGTTTTATTTTCTGATGAATGTAATGTGAATTACTTACATAGTAGTAGAAAATTTAAAAACATGTTTTTCATGAGACCAGAACTAATGTTAAAGCATACATTAAAGTCTATGATTGATCATGGAGTCATGTGCACACAGCTAAAAAAAATTGACAACAAGAGCAAATGCTTTGTTAGTAAGATTTTTCACATGATAATAAAATATTTTGGAAACAGTAAAAATTATATATCCATTGTCATACTTTTTAATACTAAATGAAATTTTCAGAAAATAAAAAAATTAATAATTCATTTTCAATTATTCTTGAAATATTGAAATATTCTTGAAAAATTGTAAAATATATATGATTACATTTGAATTTAAGATGTATGCTATTGATATATTTTTTTTAGGGCATATCTGGAAGTCCCATAATTTGCGAAAATATACAGGTGAATAATTGAAAAATATGAATGAATTATTGCAATTGACACTGCGTGATTAATACCGCATGTGCGACATTTCCGGAACCGTCGCCTGTAAAGCGGAAACCGTTATTCTTACAGTTAGATATTTTGAATCAAACTAATATCTGTCGCAAATCAAAAACGATCATTACATCATACATTCTGTATACATGCATATATTTAAAAATTAAATTATGGTAAATTATTAAGATTTACCGTATTTGATGACTAAATTAGTCTAATTATTAATCAATCACACATGTACGAGTATAGTGGATTGTTTTGAGAGTTTTAAGGAATTCATTAAAGAATATTTAAGAAAATCGTATATGTCGTGAATTTTGTATTTAATTCATTTGCGGCATTAAAGAAATTTATTTTGATTAATTAAATATTAATATTCATTTTTAGATTGGCATAAGATCCTGGGGAAATGATTGTTCGTTGGAGCCACAAAGAGACTTGCGACTTGACAATAAATATTATATAGATTGGATTAATGAAACTATTAAAGAAAATCATAGTAATCACATGCAAAATAACTTATTGCATAACTTATTGATATTTGCAATTTGTGTGGTTCTTTTCCGTGTACCAGTCTAATATTTTAAAAGTTATAAGTATACAAGAGTGTAAAAACATTACGGCAATTGTGTACTGAATGTATTGCATGCTACATGCATACTAAATATACTGTTATTTTTGTATATATTATATCACCATGTATATGTTCCATGTTGACATAAGGCGGCATTTTCGTCAGTGCCCTAACTCGTCAGACGAACTCCGTTTTGCCACCAGATGGTTTTGTGAGAAAGATAAAGAAATTTTTTGTTTGTTTTATATTTGAAAAGAAAAAATTTGATTTTACACAACAGTAATGAATTTATTTCGATTATAAAAATGAAGTGTTTTTTAGCTGAACTTCTCTAAGTAAAAAAAAGTGAATCCGCAAACTTAAAATTGCAACCGTTTGAAGTCAAACGGAAGACCAGTCGGAATCATTGGTATGTCACCAAATCGCCAGCAATTTTTGTTTGAATGGTGAAATTCAGTGCGTGTATTTAATTATTCTTTGCGGCAAGAATTGCTCGTTGACTTAACCAAGCATAATTCTGATAATTCTCACTAATGCCATTACTCGAATTTTTAATTACGATGCGTGAAGTTCCAGCAATTTGCTTTAAGGCACGATGCCATGTTCCACTAATTTTCTTAGCTATGAACCTTAAGGAGCCCGAGACGTATCCAACGAATGCAAAATTGTCGAAATCGGTTCGTGCGTTCTGGAGTTAAACCGTTAGGAAGGAAATCCCGACTTATTTTTATATATATGTAGACACATTGTAGACATATGTAGATATATATATATATATATCTACATATATATATATATATATATATATATATCTAATAGAAATGGATGATAAATTCATACTCTTCTCTTATCTATGGATAAATTACTCATTATGTTTACTTATCTATGAAATTACTATTCAAGCGCTCAAATTTAAATCACGATACCAAAAATGTAATGGAGTCTGGTGTCTATCGTATTTTATCTATGGGTATGCCAATTAGAATAACATAAACACAGAACGGAGATAAATGTCATTAACTAATATGGGTTATGTTGTTCGTGATACAAAAAATGAAATTGGAAATCTCTCGAATAGAAAATTTCACATAAAAAAACATCAAAACTTGTAAATTATCAAATTATGGTAACTTAAACTATTAAACGAAAGTTTAAATAAATTATGTCTGGAATTGCAATTGAGGACTCCCAAACAATTGATGAAGATGAAGCTGGAGCAATTCGCCTTGGAGACATATATATACCGCCCCCTTATAAACCACCTGATCATATTAGGAAAACTCTGGTAATGGTGAAAATAGTGAATAAAAATTTCAAAAGTTTTTATGGAGAAGTTACTCTTGGACCATTTCATGAACGATTTACATCAATTATTGGACCAAACGGCAGTGGAAAAAGTAATGTTATTGATGCACTAATGTTTGTTTTTGGTTCACGCGCTAATAAAATTAGATCAAAGAAACTGTCGGCTCTGATACATGAGTCTGCACTTCATAAAAATAATGATAGTTGTTCAGTCAGTATTCATTACAAACAAGTAATTCGGGATCAAGAAGAATGCCAAGATGTTCCTAATAGTGAAATAATAGTTTCGAGAACTATATTTAAAGATAATAGTGGCTTTTATAAATTAAATAATGAGAAAGTTCCATATAAAACAATTTTTAAATTGTTTAAGGAGCTTGGTATTGATTTAAATCATAATAGATTTTTGATATTGCAAGGAGAAGTTGAACAAATTGCTTTAATGCGAAGTATGGGACGTAATGAAAATGAAGTTGGTATGCTTGAATACATGGAAGACATAATAGGTACTTCTCGATATAAGACGGCGTTAAAGAATCTTCAAAATAAGGTTGAAGAACTTATTGTTAGCAAATCTGAAAAAATTAGTAATGCTGAAATAGCACGTCAACAACTTGAAGATTGTAGGAAACCTAGAGATAATGCTGTCGAGTTTTTCCAAATTGAGAATAAAATAGCAAATTATAAAAATATTTTATTACAAAAACAATTATCGATTTCACAAAGTGCATTTAACAAATTTGAAGAGAAAAAAAGAGCCCTTAATTCTACAATAGCCGAACAAAGAAAAAAAATTGATGCAAATGAAGATATTAAAAGTAAACTTGAAAATGAAATAGAAGCATTTAAAAATAAAACTAATTTTATATTGTCAAGAATCAATGAATTAGATAAGACTTTTGACAAACTGAATAAAGATGATATTGAAAAAGGTGAAGAAAGTAGAAGTGTTAATGTAAATAGAAAAAGCCTTATGAAGAAGCTGCAAGAGTCTAAAATAAACCAAGACAAATTAATGGCAAATCCCACAAAATACTCTAGTGAAATTGCTGAATGTGAAAAAAAATTAAAATTCTTGAATATTCAATATGAGAAGGAAGCTGAAGCATTAGAACAAAGTAAAAAGAAAATTGGAAAAGTTTCTACACATCTTATAGAAGCAAAAAACAGCTTGCAATTGAAATTAAAACCAGAGAAGAATAAATTACATGAAATAAATGATGAGTATAATAAATTAATTCATAAATTAAAAGTAAGTACAAACAAAAGCAATCAATTACAAAATAATGCAAAATCTAAAAAAAGCAGATTGGAAAATGCTATGATGCAGCTTGAAGAAAGAAATTTGTTGATAACGAATTTAGAAAACATTATTCAATCATCTACAAATCAAATTGCAAAATATCAATCTGAACTTAAGGATATTTTACAACAAGAAGAATTGAATAACAAAGAGGTTTCAGAAAATAGGAATATACTCAATGAACTTAAAGAAATAGATTTTACTAGATCTCGGAGTAAAGTTCTTGATTTTTTGCATAAAAAGAGCAATGAAGGAGAACTAGATGGACTATTTGGTAGATTGGGTGATTTGGGAAGTATTGATGTTAAATATGATATTGCAATATCAACTGCATGTGGAGCTTTGGACAATATATTAGTGGAAAACATTACAACTGCACAAAAATGCATTGAACTTCTTAAACAATATAATATTGGCAGAGCCACATTTATTGCTTTAGATAAGCAACAACACTTTTGGGATAATATTAAAGCAAGATTTGAAAGGTTTTTCATAATATACACTTTTTTATAATATACACTGTTGAAAGTAATATAAAATTTGATTTTATATTGATTTGATTTTAACTCTAAAAATATAATCATGGGCTTGAATCAGGAATCATTTTATACCAGTTTCTTTGTTTCTTTGAGTAAAAATTATATTTTTCAGTCCTGAAAACCTACCACGTTTGTTTGATCTAATACGCGTAAATGATACTAGAATATTACCAGCATTTTATTATGTGACAAGAAACACATTGGTTGCTTCTAACTTGGATCAAGCAACGCGGGTGGCTTATGGCAGGAACCGCCACCGAGTTGTTACAGTTAAGGGCGAATTGATTGAATTAGCAGGTTTGATTTTTGTATTTAAAATTAAGTTAAATTTCATTACTAAACAAATAATTTATTACTTTTAGGCACTATGTCTGGGGGAGGGAACAAATTTCGACGTGGTATTATGTCTAATCAAATGCTGAAGAAATCACAATTATATAATACTTCTAAATATAATTTGAACGATATTCAGCGTGAATGTGAAAGACTTGAAGAAATCAAGAGGGATATCACTCGAAGAAAAGATAATGCTGCTGATCAGATAAATGTATTGAATCAAACATTATCAAGAGATAGATTGAAACTTAATGATATTAAGAAAGTTATTAAGGTAATGCAGTTATTTTTAATGTTCTTTGTATTATTTGACATGCATTCTACTAATATTGTTCTTTCAATTTTAGCCTATATTGGAAGAATGTCAACAGTTAAAAGAAGAAATTAAAAATTCAGAAACAATAGAAGTACCAGATGAAGTTTCTTCACTTCAAATAATTGTTGCTGAAAGGAAGAGAGTACTAGATGAACAGCAAGACGTTGTTAATAAGGTTTACTTTATTCTATTTATACACATATAAATACATAAGAATATTATGTGTATATATATATCTATATACATATATATATATATATATATATATATATATATATATATATATATATATATATATATATACGAGGTCTGTTCAAAAAGTTTTCGTAATTTTCGTTTTTTCAAAAAAATATTTATTTATTCGTCTACATTAATGTGGTCCCCTTCAAAGTAGTCCCCCCCAGATATAATACACTTATGCCAGCGTTTTTTCCAATTTTCGAAGCACCCTTGATATTCACTTTTTGATATGTCCTTGAGCACTCTCGGCGATTTTCTTCAATCGAGGAAAACCGCCGTCCTTTCATGGGTCTCTTCAACTTTGGGAATAGGAAAAAGTCACACGGAGCCATATCTGGTGAATTTTTGCACTTTGCAACACTTTATTTCATTTTTTACGCAAAATTTAATACAAATTCTTTGACTTTTTCAATTCTTCCATTGTAAAAATCGCCGAGCTCAGAAAAACACGTCGAACCTTAGCGACTACCACAGACAAAGTAAACAGTGAATATAGCTGAAAATTTCATCATACTTTAGGGGCATGTATACCAACACAATAAAAAAAAAAATTTGACAATCAGACACTCCAGACCCGCGAAATTTAATTATTAGTAATTCCGGGTACTTTTTGAACAGACCATGTATATCTATTATATATATATATATATATATATATATATATATATATATATATATATATATATATATATATATATATATTATATATATATATATATATATATATATATATATATATAAAATAATAATAATACTGACTAAAGCCACCGCTTTTGTCTCAAATCAATTTTATAAATGTGCTTTTTATTTATATATTAAAAAAAATAATACTTTTCTCAGTTTTATATTTAAATTGCCAAAAAGTATTGTATATTTTTGTTTATATAAAGTATATAAAATATTTTGATTAAAAAGTAAATTATTAGACAAGTACAACATAAAGGCTTAACTTCTGATGGAAATGTAATAAAGATAAAAAAATATTAATTTTCTATTGTAATGTACTTCGAACAATTTCAGATTGAAGAAGAATTAAATGAAGTTTTAGAAAAAATTAACTCTTCGGTGATTGGCTCGATCAAATTTGAACAAACAAAAATTAATAATTTGAAAAAAGAAATATCAAAATTTCAAAATCAAATTATGACACTAAAAGTTGCTACTACTAACAATGAAAAGTAAGTTTTATTTAATCATGTACCATAAATCTTGATTTTTCTAGGTTTGCTTTCCTTTATTGCATGCTTTTCTCTCATCATGTAAGTTTATATGGGATTTCAGGGTGAAATTATTTGTGGTCCTTTCTAAATTTTTAATAATTTTATAAGAATTATACATCTTATAATCCTTTCTTTGAGTGGGTAACACTTTCAGATTTTGAACCTAAAAGTAGCCTTACTGATTGCTTTTTATAGCTTTCATCATTCAATGTTTTTGACTTCTTCAATCTTTTATCTAAACACATTATTGTTTCCTCCAATCATTTTGTACAACTTTTCTATATGCGACGTACTTATAATAGAAAATCAAAAATCTCTATTATAGATTTATTTAGTACATAATATATATTTTAATTTTCAGAAAAGTGGCAATGACCAAAAAACAAATCAGCTCTATGGAACTTGATATTGAAAAGTGTCAAAACCAGATTTTAAAACTGCAAGACGAAAGGAAAAAGATCGAAGAAAATGCTCAAGTTGTAATGAGGGAGAAGGAAGAACATGAGGTTAGTAGCAAGATTTATTTATATTTTTTGCAATATTTCAATGCCATACTCTTACTCCAATACTCTTTTTTATTTTCTCAGTTCCTGTTTATAAATAGCAATTTTATAAAATTGCTTTTGAATCTGAACATTTTGATAGTTGTATTCTGAGGTATTGTATTTAAGTTTTCTTTCAGATATAGGCAATATGAACAAACCATTGAAAATTAGTTTTCTAGTACTCCTTTACAGCTTTAATACAGTTTTATTATGCTATACAATCTCGAATCCTGTGCATTCCTGCTAGGCTTCTGCACATCATAAGTTTGGACGTGCTTTTGTTTATTGCTTATTTCTTACGTATGAAATAAGCAGTAATTTATTTTCTAATGTTAGTCCTAATTTAAGTAACCCTTTTTATTTTAAATTTACTGCATTTATTTTAATGACACTCATGATTGGAGGCTAAGGTTTTACGTATACAGTTTGATAATGCATGTTATAGGTTTCACATGCTTTCGCATATAGGAACCCTGCTTTCTGGTATTATTTTGGTTCTTTTCAAATTCTTCTTACTAATGTTACAGAAAATTCATTCCAGCTTGTCTTTAGCGAGAGCTATATGGTTGATATAACTGATATAGTTAATTTTGCCCCTATTAGCTATGTGAAATTGCTTCAGTGAAAATATTTACTTCAGAAGAATGGTGTATGTATCTGATAACCGGTTCTAAGGATTTAAATACCAATTTTCTCTAATAAGGAAATATTCCCATATTATCTTAGAAACACAAACTACAATATATATTAAACTAATTTGGTATTTTATTTATACTGTCAAATAACTCAATTTCTGAATGAACCTTAACAAGAATTATATTTTATGGTATGGTTATCCTAACAAAATAATTATAAATATTTCTTGAATTATAGTTTTTTCAAAAAGGGCACAAGTAGAACTTGAACTAATGGCTTTAAAATACAAAATTTTGTGGCCATTGACAGTGATGGTCTTATATGTCAATTGAAGAAAAATGTAGAATAAATTTACTCCTTAATAGAGTCATAACACTACCATATGGCTTAATTCCCTGGTACATGAGCAAATTAAATATAAATGAATTAATTAGGATTAGGTAAAGGATTTGACGTAATTCAGAAAATGACAAAATAATCAAACTAGAATTAGAATAGAGGGGCGCGATGAATTGGAAAAAATAATAAATTCACCGAAATAGTAATAAAAGCAAATAACGAAATTACTCAATATAAAGTGACTTGGTATCTACTAGAGGTAGTAAATTTAGTGGAGCAAAAAAGAGCTTATATTAATTTATATTCTCTTTTTTAATTATATTATTAATAAATGTGTTAAGGCGTGTTGTTAAACATAAACGTACATATTATTTTCCATTATTTCAATAACACTATTTTTTCAGATTAAATTGAATGAATTTAAAGAAACATATCGTGTCACAAAGACAAAACTAAAATCTATAAATAAAGCGCGTACTGCGTTGAATTCAGAACTGTTGGAACTTGAAAATCAATTTACTGAAATTCGACAAAAGTTGAATAATTGTTCCAAGGAAATTGATTTGTACAATTCAGAGGTTTGTTATTTATTTTATATAGCGGATATATATATGCAATTCATATTTGTATATATTATACATATACAATTTATATGTTTATTTTTTTGAATTTTTTTTTCTTATATTTCAGAAAAATCAATTGAAATTAAATGAGTCATCATTGACTAGTTTAGTTGATGAATGTTTTAAAACATTAACTGCCGAGGAGCTTGCTGATATTCATGTTAATGAGGTGGAAAAACAAATTCATGATGCTGAAACTAAAATAAAAGAAAACAAACTTGAGCCAAATATTACTGCTATTAACGTATGTATAATATTAATTATAATATGTATACACACATATATATATATATATATATATATATATATATATATAAATGTACTCACTTATAGCTAGAATTAACACCAAGGTACTTGAATATTTTTATAAATCTTTTTTGTTATCTGTAAATAACATTGAAAACTTATCAGAAAATTAAGATGAAACGTCAAAAATAAATAATATTAAATAATAACAATAGTATGTATTTAACAAAAACAATTAAAACAAAATTAATAAATTATATAAAACCAAATAATAATATAAAAATATTAATATTCTTTATTAAAGATTTGTTCTAATCACATAATTGTTCAGTATATAATTGATCAATTGTTAATTGATTAACTTGAATAATTAGTAAAGCACAAGATTTAATCAAGCCAAATATTATTTGACACATAGAAATAATAAGAAGATTTAATTATCGTTTGATTTAAAATAACATATACTTAATAAGATATTTAGTACAAAGATTATCTGTTCTAGATTTTCAATGAGAGCATTGCAAGAGATAAGGATGCGCGAAATGCTGTATCCCTCGTAACTAGTGAGCTGGAAAAAATAAAAGAACTTTTAAATACTCTGGAAGAGAGAAGAATGGATGAATTTATGACAGGTTTTGGCATTATTGCAATGAAATGTCGAGAGTTTTATAGAATGCTTTCACTGGATGGAGATGCAGATCTTGATCTTGTTGATAGTTATAATCCATTTACCAAGGGAGTTACACTCAAGTAAGAATTTAATTTTTATAACAAACTTCAAATATAAAATACACGAAGAAATTATACTAATTTAGATTGGATATATGTTTATTTTATAGGGAAATATAAACTTTATTTTATATAAAATTAATAAAACCCATTTTCTTAGTATGTAAACCTAATTTAATTACTGAGCAAAAAAAATCATCTAATTGTCTGAGATTTAATATTATTTTAAATATTCCACTTTAGAAAATTATAAATTTATCCAATGGAATTTCCAAGTTAAATACACTGTATTCTTTATACTTTTGCGGTACTTATAAATATTTATTAAATTTATTATAATTTCATTATTTGCCTTTGAAAATCTTTATAATAATAGATCGAATTTCTAATTTTTTGTTTATATGGTTAATTTTACATGAAAATATCAAACTACTGCTATTTAGTTTTTATTTTATGAGTTAGTTAAGAGCGTTAACTGTATGTTGTAATTTCATGTATATTGCTGATTTAAAATGCTCTGACTTTTAAATTTTGGAACTAAAGTCGAAAGATTCAATCAAACGTTTCGTTTTTTAGTGCTCTACTATATGTGTTTACATTCAATACTTACTTGATTCATCATCTATGATTCAAATAGTTAAATTTAAATGAAGTATGAAAGTATTTTAGGGATCGTTCAAGTATTACGTAAGCAGATTTATTACAATCATTTACCCCCCCTCCCTTTGTCAGCAAAAGTAAGCAAATTTCTTACCAAAAATAAGCAAAATAAGCAAATCAATAACCCCCCCGCCCCCCTATAGTGCTTACGTAATACTTGAACGGACCCTTATGATTAAATTTATTTGGCATCAAAATATTTTTTTAGTTCTAGCTTTAATATTACTATATAATTATAAATGTATATAGCCGATTGGCGTATATATATATATATATATATATATATATATATATATATATATAAAAATATGAAATATGAACAAACAGCACTTTTTTTGCACTAGTTTATTAAATAATATTAATTTTACAATTGTTTCTTTTGCTTACAAGTAGAACAAGTTGGAACAGTCAACACACTATGCTACATTCATATTTTAGATTATAATTATAATACACATGATGAGACAAACCTAATCTCGCAACGTTTGTAAAATTAATTTTATTTAATAAATTAGTGCAAACAAGAGTGCTGTTTATTCATATTTATAAATTAATATCTAACCACTCAGATATATATATATATATATATATCAAATAATTTTGATTGTTGTGTTTTATTGGCCATGATTTTTCAATTATATTTTATATTTGCAAATGTTGGTTGAATTACAAAAAATGCAGAAACATCAATATTTTCAGAAGATATAACATTTGCATTTCTTCAAATGCAAATTGCTCAAAAACTTTTTATTTACCTCTTAACTTAAAATGACAAGCAGGAATTGTCATTTAATATTACGGGCGATATTCGGGCCAGAAGCATTACGGGCACGGCCTGCTATCGTGAACGCAAGTATTACAAAATATTTATTCATACGAAACTATAAAACACAAAATTATTTTTATTTTTGTGATAAACCGTACACTATGAGGGAAAATAGTCACAAACGCCGGGTCTGCTTCAACAACTTTGGGCCGATATTTTCGAATCTAAATCGTAAGTTAAGGGGTTAACTCGTTTTCAAAAATTAGTTTTTTTTAACATTTAAATACTTTAAAATTAAAATGGATATGCATAACGGTTTTTTTATCTACTACCGCTGCTTAGGTCATTTTAACTTACCGAACAAAAAATTCAAAAATTTTGATAAACGTGAATAATAAATATATTTTTCCTGCAGTATTCGCCCCCCTAAGAAATCATGGCGGAGTATAATGCAGCTTTCAGGCGGAGAGAAGACTCTTTCTTCGTTAGCTTTTGTATTCGCTATTCACCATTTCCGACCATCACCGATGTATCTTATGGACGAAATAGATGCGGCTTTAGATACTCGAAATGTGACTATTGTGGGCAATTTAATACAAGTAAGAAGTGAATTTAACAATACAATTTTACATTATTAATTGTTTATCATTAATTTATTAATGTGACTTGGCTGAACTATAAATGTTTATTTGCAACTTGAACATAAAAATATTACCCTCTCATACTACACCTACTTTTTAATAAGGCACATTTATTTAGGCGCAGATGTATTCTTATTATATGATGTAGCATGAACCCAAAATTATGTAATGAAAAAGAAAAAGAAAAGTGGTAAACAAAAATAAAACTAGTTTGTGTTAGTATTTTGCCTTGAGGCAAGTTACATGAACTTCCCGATATGTGTAAATAAACAATAAATCAATCTATAAAATATTAATTAATTCATGAGTAATTTAAAGTAT